GGGGGGTGGTGGGGGTGGGTGGAGGATAACCTCAAGATCCACAGGACAAAGAGGGGAGTTTCCACTCCTGTCAAATTACAGTATCAAAAACTCACGGGGCACTTCAACCCCTCGACGGTGGCTATGAGTTGGCAGCACCTCAAGGGCAGTGAGTTTGGTTTGATTTTGTTTTAAGGGGCGTAATGGATTAGCCTTTGGGCTGCTAACCTCAAGGTAGGCAATTCGAAACCGACAGTCACGCTCTCAATGTTCATGGTCTCTCAGAAACCCACGGGCGATTCTACTCTGTCCTACAGGGTGGATGTGTGCAGGAATGACAGTGAGGTGTTTGTTTGTTTGTTTGTTTGTTTTGAGTTTGAAGAATCTGTACCCACTTTTGCTTTTCACCCAAGCATGGACAGGGTGGCGTGGAGAAATAGTTGCAAGACAATAAAATCTGCGCATGAAGAAGAAAACCAACCAATCCAACGAACAAATCCACCACCATGGAGACTCCCGGGCCTCCTAGCGACCCTGTAGGACAAACTAGAACAGCCCCCACATAGGATTTCCAAGGGACTGAACCCTTTGAAAGCAGATGGCGGCATCTTCCATTTGTAAAACCAAAGACCAAAACACCCCGCAAATGTCGATCCTACAGGTGTTTTCAAAGTGGGGTGTAATTGCATTCACCCCTCACTTAGTTAACACCTACAGTCCACGGATCGTAGACAAAGGGCCCCCAAAATTAAATAGGAAAGAGGCAATCTTTTCAACAAATGGTGCTGGCAAAATTGTATCTGTCTGCAGAAGAATATAACAGGACCCATACCTCACCACACAAACTCAAGATAGAGCAAAGACCTAAATGTGAATCCCAGAACTATAGAAATCATTGATGGGGGAGACAAAGTAAAGGGTTCTTTTGAGGGGCATATACAAAATAGCCAATATAATGAAAACCACAGGGAGACAAAAACTCCAGCTCACCTCCATCGAGTTGGTGCCAACTCGCAGCAATCCCCTAAGGTAGGGTAGAACTTCTCCTGGGAGTTCCCAAGATTGTCCCTCTTTAAGGGAGTAGAAAGCCCCGTCTTCCTTCTTCAGAGCCGCTGGTGGTTTCTGGTTGTGGCTGATCCTGTGATTAAAAGTCCAACGTGTACCCACTACACCGCTGGTGGACTGCCATCGAGTTGGTTCTCACAGCACCCTGTGCACAACAGAACGAAGCACAACATGGTCCTGTGCCATCCTCAGAATTGTTCCTATGCCTGAGCCAACTGTGGCAACATCTCACTGAGGGTCTTCCTCCTTTTTGCTACCCCTCCACTTTACCCAGCATGATGTACTCCTGACAATATGTCCAAAGTATGTAAGTCAAAGCCTTGCCGTCTTTGCCTCTAAGAAGCACTCTTGCCTTACTGCCAACACTGATCGGTTTGTCCTCTTAGCAGCCCATGGTACGTTCAGTATTCTTCTCCAGCGCTGTAACTCAAATGCATCAAATCTTCTATGGACCTCCTTCTTCAGTGTTCAACTTTCACGTGCATATGGGGCACGGAAAACACTTGGGTCAGGCGCACTGAAATCCTCAAAATAATATCCTTGCTCTTCAATACTCTAAAGAGGTCTGGTGCACCTCAGATTAAGGATTAGGGATGTGAATAGTCTTGCCCTCAAGAGTGCATTGAGAAGTGGACTGCTGCAGATATGCCTCTTCTCTCACTGCCTTTGAGTCAAAGCCGACTCAGGGCAACCCTACAACACATAGAGATAATATATAACATATTATCAATGGTTTTCCCTTTTGACTTAGTTTTAATTTATTCTAATTTCTCTTATCTTTTGCTCTCTCTTGGGTCAAGGTTTTCATATTTTGTTTTCTGTCATTGTTAGTGTGTTATCCGGGTTGGTTAGAGAAACAAATCCAGGGACAGATCAAGTCCACAAGTCTGATATTAGCCTACAAGTGTGATACTAAACCATAATTTCCTCTTCTAACTCATGCAGCACATGCAGTGATGCAAAATGCAGGAAGATCACAGGCGAGTGGGTGGAAAGTCCTGTGGATCCAATGCTGGTGGACGCATCTCAGCTATGGCATGGATCTCTACATGGCTCTTCCAGCTCTCCAAGTGTGGTTCTTCAAAAGGAAGGTGAAGCAGAGCAGAGGGAGAGGCTCTCCTAGGTCTCATCAAGTCTATGCATGGCTTGTAAACAGGAAGACCAAGGTAAAGAGAGAGAGGCAGTTCCCAGAATCCTCATGTGAAGGCTGTGCTCACAAGGAGGCATCATCTGGCTGTGACCTGATTGACAGGCTAGACTCCGCCCCTTCACTCTTTTTCATCTATTTATTTTTATAACTCATACATCAATTGTACCCATACATCAATTGTATCAAGCACATTTGTTCATATGTTGCCATCATCATTTTCAAAACATTTTCTTTCTACTTGAGCCTTTAGTATCAGCTCCTCATTTTTCCCCCTCCCTCTCCTCCCCTCCTACTCTCATGGACCCTTGATAAATTATAAATTATTTTTATTATTTTCATATCGTACACTGTTCACTGTCTTCCTTCACCCATGTTTCTATTGTTCACCCCCTTTGTGGGGGTGGATTATACATCGAACATTGTGATAGTTACCCCTTTCTCCCCCTTCTCCCACCACCTTCCCTCCTACCTCATGATATGGCTACTCCCATTACTGTTCCTGAGGGGTTTATCTGTCCTGGATTTTGTTTGTCGAAAGCTCTTATCTATATCAGTGTACATGCTCTGGTCTAGCCAGATTTGTAAGGTATAACTGGGGTGATGTTACTGGTGGTGGGGCAGGGGGCGGGGGAGAGTAAGCATTAAAGAACTAGATGAATGTTATGTGTTTTTTGGTGCTAATCCCTTTCTTGTGACTCTGATGTGAGATTTATAATTGTCCTCAGATGGGCTTTAGGTCTGCACTCCGACACCCCGCCCCTCATTTGCATCAATATGATTGCTTTGGGTCTTTTGATGCCTGTTACCTGATCCCGGCGACACCTTATGATCACACAGGCTGGTGTGCTTCTTCCATGTGCGCTTTGTGTCTTCCCTGCTAGATGGCTGCTTGTTTACCTTCGAGCCTTTAAGACCCCAGACACTATATCTTCTAATAGCCAGGCACCATCAGCTTTCTTCACCACATTTGCTTATACACCCATTCCCCTGGGTTTGTTGGCTCCCCACTCCATTTCCCCCACCTACTCCTCTCCCATGTCCCCCAGGAACTGTCGGTTCTGTTGTTTTCTCCCCGGGATGGTAAACTATCCTGCTGATCTTATATAGATAGACATGAAAAAAAAAGCCTATAATTATTTTATCTTATCTCTTTTAATATTATTTTTAACAGTTTTATTGACATATAATTCGTGTACCATACAATTCAATAATTTAAATATATTAAAAAGAGTTATGCAGTCATCACCACAATCAATGTTAGAACACTTTATTCATTCTTGTACCCATTATTCTTAGGTACTCATTTCCCCTCAATTTCTCCTCCCATAATCTCAAAGAAATATTAATCTCTCACACTGACCACTGTCTCCCTTCCCCCATGTTTTCTGTTGTTCTTCCCCCTGTAGAGGGGTGTATGGTTATGTGTTGATTATTGCGATCAGTTCCCCCTTTCTCCCTTCCTATGAAAATAATAACAATGTACAATCTATCAGGTGGTTATGAGGGTGGGGTTGGGGGAGAGAGGATAACAAGGGCTCAATAGAAAGTAAATATCTAGAAAAGAATGAGGGCAACATATGTACAAACATGCCTGATTCAATTGATGTATGGATTGTGCTAAGAGTTGTATTAGCCCCCAAGAAAATGATTTTAAAAAAATATTTAGACAGGAAAAAAGGGAAAGAAATAGTAATCTAATTATTGTCTCTACTGGGTTACTTATCTTGGATTTCATATAAAGAAAATTATATCAAAAAACCCTACTGAGGTAGTTACATATCTCATGTCAACTTGAGGGTATTAAGAGTGAAGCTATAGCCCGAGAGAGTGGCAGGTCATCCCAGACCACACTGGAGCAAACTTAGAGGGAAAGAGAAAAAGAGAGAGAGAGTGGACTGCATCCTGGCCCACTAAGCCTCAAGGACGACATTCATGCTCTGAGCAGCCAATTCACAGAGAGGACCATAGGGCCAGCCCCACTCTGGCCCCTCACTGACCCACAGTGCTATGGGGACAACATTGGAGGCACAGTGCAGGAATTGTGTCCAGTCTGACCCCCTCCCCACACACACCGGAGTGAAACGTGAAGGGAGCACAACAGAGCAAGCAGCAAGGGAAGCAAAGCAGAGAAGTCCTAGAGGAATCCCGAAAACAGACTTCTGATTCAGGGTGTAGGGCATGCACCTCATCAGAATTGACCAGGAAACATTCATAAGAGTCACCAGACAGATGGCAGTGGTGTGTTGATGTCATCATCATTTTAATTGTCATTTAGCTGAACGTTAATAGAGCAAATTAGC